GTGAGGGTTGGGGGGTGGGGGGAGAGAGGAAACACCAGCAATGAAGCCAGGATTTTTGACTTGAGCAAGTAGGAAGTTGGTGGTGCCTTTTGCTGAGCTAGGACCTGAAGGAGGAGGCACAGTTGCCGAGGAGAGTGTGGAGGAAATGCCGAGGAGAGTGTGGAGGAAATGCCGAGGAGAGTGTGGAGGAAATGCCGAGGAGAGTGTGGAGGAAATGCCGAGGAGAGTGTGGAGGAAATGCTGCAGTTTGAGCCACACTGAGTTTGAGGTGCCTGGGAGACACGCGAGTGCTTGTTGGAGCAAGCTTGTTAAAGTCTGTTACTCGTGGTAGAGATCCCAGGTAGGGTGTAGAGTTGGCAGTCCTCAGAATAAAGCTTTGTTCTTTCTACTTGATTGTTTGAAGCTTTCGTAAAGGACTAGAGAACTGTTTACACAGCCTTGGTTTGGATTCTTTATGTTTGACTTTTTGTAAAAATCTAAATCTGTGGTTATGACTTAATATATTCACTCCAATATATTCATGAATACATAGGTTAGATAGGAAGATAGAAAGACCTACACTAGGCGAAGATGAAAAGGACGCAGTTCTGACTCCAGGACACTGTTATATCACATAGAGGTGGAGAGAAAAGTGGTCAGTTTATGCCCTGTCCTCTTTTTCCTAATTACTAATCCATTGCATTGTATTTTATTCGAGTCCCAGAAAGTACATCGTCACCGCAGGTCTGGGAGTTCAGTGTAACTCCAGAATGACCCTCAGTCCAAAGACAGGATTAAACATCCTGCAAGACCGATTACAGCCTGGGATGGACAGAAATGTGAATTCTCATGACCACCAGGACACCTGGCTGGAACCATAGACTGGGGTGAGGGCTGGGGGAAGTCCTGAAATGCAAGGTGTTGGTGGCTTCAGGGTATGACCTGCTGTGACTGTGCTTTATTTGAAGGTGTCAAGCCTTCTTTCCTGTGGTGAGCTGTCTCCAAAAGCTGGGACCTGATTAGTTTGCATTTGACTTCTTTGCTGCCTAATGAACTGCCTCTGTAGTTCTAGCTGTGATGTCATTAGCATCTTGTTGCCTTGGGCACCAACTCAGGAGAGAGATTCTTAAGCAGTCCCAGAATCCTACAGGAATTGTACCAATTTACTTCATGACAACTTCATGACCTGTCGGTTCTACCAGCAGAGCAGACCCTGCACGAGAACGGGCCGCTCGCTTTCATGGCCTTCATGTGCCCCTGAGTCTAGGCGGGCCGATTTGTACATGCCGAAGGCCATGGGCACATCCACAGTGAGATGCTGAGCGTTATGGACGCCCGTGTTCTCATCCCATGGTATTCTACTGGGGGAATTTATCCACTGTGTGCTGTAGGATACAGATTTAGCCTAAAGCGAATGGCATTTATTTATAGCAAACTGTATTCGCAAAATGCTTTGCAGTTTTAGAGCTACATTCCAGGTTGGATGTTCTTCTGCTTGTGAGAAAGTGAAGTGTCTAACTGGACTGCAGAACCTCCCCTGAGAGCAACGGGTGAATTCAGCTAACAGGGGTGACGGAGCCACAACCAGGTATTCTTTGTCAGACGGCACCTTTGTCAATTATAATCTTTTGAGACCTTAATTGTAGCTTAGTTCTTATGTCCAAAGACTGTGTACTTACTGCCATAGGATGTTTATTTTACTAAGAGATAGCACAGTGTCTCAGATCACCAGAGCACTTCTACCCAGGCTTCCGAGGGTGGAAGAGGGAAGGCCCACCAAAACATCTGGCCCCGAAGGAAGCCAGGCGCAGTCTCCTCACAGCCCCCGTCCACACGCAGACCTCTCCCGCCGCTCGGCCGCAGGAGTGAAAGGCAAATGCCAAAGATCGGACTCTCCTGAAGCTTTTAGGACCTGAACTACTCTCGCGTACTGCAGACGTGATGGTTATAGGTGCTCTCTGTGGGCTAAGGGAGATTTATCTGGGCTTTCACCACAGGACTCCATCATTTTAAAGAGTATTTCCCAATTGTCTCTTTAACTGCGCATAGGAAATGCATTTCTTCTTTGAAAAATCTCTCTCTCACACACGTCCCTATTCTTCGCTGGAACCTGAACGGATAGCGTTTGGGAGCTCACTGCTCGTTGCTTCCGTGTAAATCCCGCTCCTCTGCAGACAGCTCCATCCTGCCTGCGGAGGGGGCGGAGGGCAGCTGGTCTTGGCTCCAGCAGGGCCCTTTGCACGTGGACCTGAGGGCTGTCAGGAGGCAGAACATAGGATTCCCAAATAAAACGAGGGGTGTGGGCTCCACCATCCTTTTCTGCGTCCTCCTTCCCATTCCTCTGCCCTCTCTGCTCCCTAACCTTGCCGAGTATCTGGGGCTGAAGGATTTGGAGGGAGATTTGCTGAATCTTGATTTTAATTGGGGTCCCCAGCAGACAGCAGCAAGGGGAGCAGCCCCTCAGATGTTTACCGCGAGCGGGCCGGGCAGGCCCGGAACCGAAGCGCCACGGGGCAGTGGGGGTGGGGAGCCTTCCTGGACATCTGGGGATTAAAGGACGAGAAAGGGAATTTGGTGGCATATTACTTCCCCTTTCAAGGAGCTTTCACTCCTGTTAAGGACATTGAGGAAGGGGTTTTATTTTCCCTTAATTATCCTGTCATGACCTATGTCCTGTCATGAGCTATATCCCTCACTCTGTATTTTTTCTTCGTAGGATAAGTGTTATGGCATTGTTTTATCCCTTAATGCTGTATTATCCCAATTGAAAAAAACTGTAGCTCCACAGCATTTTTTAAAGTAGCCATGTGTTGCTTTTCCATGTTTATTTTCCGTGATGCCAAAGAGGTCACCTGAGATGCTTTCCTAGTTGCTCACTAAAGTCATTTTAGACTTAATATCCCCATCTAGCGGTTACTGGTGGAAATTCTTTTCCCAGCCTCTGTTGCACCTGTTCTCGAGAGGAGCCAGTCAGGGAGGAGGGTGAGTCAGGGAGGAGGCCGGGCGGCCGGGCGGGGAGGAGGGCTGGACAGGAGGAGGGCGGGTGGAGGAGGAGGGATGGTCAGGGAGGAGGACTGGTCGGGGAGGAGGGCTGGCTGGGGAGGAGGGCCAGTCCGGTAGGAGACTCGCAAGCTCTCTGGCAAGGCTTGCATGGCAAAATTTCAAAAATTTTCTTTTGAAAAGAAACTATATCTTTACTGATGGGGGAATTTTATTTACTTTCTCAGTGAATGAAATCCCATCAAAGATCCAAAGGCCTCGCCCCACCCCACTCACTGCTGCCTGGTTGGTTCAGTGCATGGCATGTTGGAAGCAGGCCCAGGGCTGGATGAAAAGAGGCTTGGGCCAGCTGTGGCGATGTCACTGCAGCCTGGGGTTGACTGAGCCCTGGCCACCTGAGTGTCAGCACAGACATACAGTGGTGCATGAGGTGGTGTGGGGGCTATCTTAGTTGATGCCGTCCTTGGTTTCGGCATGTGCAGTTATGCAGTTCTCTTATCACCTATGAAGGGCTTGAACTCAACTCTGGGCACGTTATTTAATAAAATGCAAATGTGAGATAGATTGTATACCATATCATAGTCCCTGAGGAAGTCCTTTGCCTAGCGTGCAGGAGGAGTCCCATGTCCGTGGGGCTGCCGGGTACCAATGCCGCATGGCACGATAACGGCACTCCCTGGAAAGCAGCAGTGCCAGAATGCCTGGTAACATTTCCAGACGGGCTCACAGGGCAAAGCAGGCCAGAGGGAGGAGAGCACAGGGCTCTCTGGACCCCAGAAGAGACAACGGTTGGTATGAAGTCAGTGAGTCCACATCTCACAGCCACCTTCTGGAACCACTTTGCAAATCCTTCCAACTGGTTCCCCCAAAGATCTGGCCCATCAAGTCTCACATTCCTGATGAGTCCAGGAGGACCAGAGTGAATGTTCTGTAAATGCTCATTATTTCCAGAAGCCCAGTGATCAGTCTGAAATTGTTTCATGTTCAGGACTGAAACTGTACCAAAAAAGGTTGAAAATCTCTTAAGAAATCCAGTGCTTTTAGTCACAAACTCTACTTCCATCTTCCTTTCGAATGAATAAATTAAGTAGAGAATCATGAGGACTGGGAAGAGCAACGTCAAGCAGTGCTTTCTTGTATAGGGAACAAACCATTATTCTCTGTTGGACATTTCTCATGTTTGTCACCTAAAATAGACCAAGAGCTTTTTTACCTTTTACACATCAAGCAAGAGTGATATGGACCCATCTCTCAGGCTTTGGAGCAAAAGGCATTTTGAAAAACTCAGAATCCCCTCACCATCTACAATATGTTGATTGATAATGAAACAAGAAGGTCCTGTTCTTCTTCTACGATCTGCAGGCTTGGGAATCAGACAAAAGTGGGTTCAACCCCAGCTCTCACAATGTGCTAGCTGTGTGACCCTGAGGCTCTTGTGACCCTCTGGCCTCACTTTCCTCACCTGTAAAATGAGTATAATGATAGAACTTCATGCAGAGGGTTGCTGTAATGGTTAAAGGAGCTCTGGAATGGATTTCACCTTTGTAGTACAGGCTCTATAAATCTTGGCTATATTTATGATTGAAACCATTTTATGACAGAGGTTGGACACGTGCTAGCCACTGTTTTATGTGCTTTAAACCATTTTGCCATTCATTCATTCCACAGTGCTAGAGGTCGCTACTATTAGTATCTTCACTTTATAGAAGAAGAGGCCGAGCCGTAGAACAGTCGCTATGTCTGTCTTCTCGCTGGTGGCCGCCAGCACAGGCCCTGCAGAAGCTTCCCTCTGAGAGGGCCGTTCTCAGAGAAAACAGCCTGGAAGGGCCGTCCCCAGCTCTGTGGGGCACTGGGAGGATGGGTGACCCAAATTAAGTGGCAAGGAAGAATCACGCTCTCACCCTCTCATGGCATTTTCTGACCTCGCAAGGATTGGACCCCGGGACCCAGGGGCCATGAGGTCACGGCGGTCCTTGATCTTCTGAATCTCTCACTCTCTGTTTTCATTTTGTGTCCGGCAGGCAACTCCCCATCTGATGAGTCAGAGGAGCGAGAAAGAGACCCCAAGGTGCTGACGTTCCCAGAATACATCGCCAGCCTGTCAGACTCTGGCACCAAGCGCATGGCAGCTGGAGTCCGCATGGAGTGCCAGAGCAAGGGACGATGCCCCTCGTCCTGCCCCCTCTGTCACGTGGCATCCAGCCCTGACCCCCCTGCTGAGCCGGTTCTGCTGGAGGTGACCAAAGCAGCCCCCCTCTATGAACTAGTGACCAACAACCAGACCCAGAGGGTAAGAGGCCTGGGACGCTTGGCTCCTGGAGGCACGAGCAACATGAGAGGGCTTTCCAAATGGCATGACAAAGAGACAGGGTGCAGTTGAGTGCCATGCTAGAATATGGATAGTGACGCATTGGGTTAAGCTTATCCAGGGACCGAATTTGTTTAGATTCTGCATGTTTGCATTTTAAGTCAAAATCACTGAATCCATAACCCCCCCAGCCCCACCCCCAGATATGATTTGGGAGTCACAACTGAGTGCTCATGTAGCACTTTGAGCAAAAAGAGCTGCAAGGGGGCAGGCGGACACGGAGGTACAGCGTTTGCAGTCACCAGAGTCATTGCTCAGAGAGTCCTCGTGCCTTGGGGATGGTCACGGCAGAGGCTTGGCTCTGTCTCCAGGCTGTGGGCACGGGAGGCCAGCCAGCTCCCCTGGCTGAACCCCACGCTGGACCAGCCGCCTCCAGACTAGGCTGAGCACGTCAGGCCCAGGTCCCAAAGGGAAGGGTCTGGCAGCCCTGGCCTGAAGGGGGCTTGGTTTTCTGCCCGTCACTCTGCTCCAGGAACAAAACAGCACATCCACACAGATCCTTCTGCCTTTTATCACGCTGCTGGGTCGTGACATTCCCCAACCGCTCCTCCTTTGCCTCTGCCATTCCCTTTCCAGAGAAGCCAGGAGAAGCTAGATGGACCCGAAAGGAGAAGCTGAGAAACGCGGCAGAGGCATGGTCTCAGCTGTTTCCTGCCTCTGGCCTGCTCAAGGACATAGCAATCAGAGCGAGTCAAAACACACAACAACGACGACACAAGGCAAACAGGGGCACTGCAGGTGTGGGACTTCTGAGACTGCTGGCAAAGGCAGCCTTGGGGACAAGGCGTGGCAGGAGTCTCAGCCGTGGGCTGCTCACCTGCCTGAGAGGGGTGCCCACCCAGGAGGGGTGACAGTCGCTTTCTCTTCTCTCCTCTGTGGAACACCTGGTGTGTCCCGGCTGGTTTCATAGGTGGCGCTCAGACCCACAGGAGGGGTTCTGCGTGTGTGCTCCTCTCGCCAGCACGCCCCTGCCACAGACATTTCACTGAGTGTTTGGAAATAAGGGTTTTCACAGAAACACACAGATAAATTGTTTCCGTGGCCCACAGATTCCTCTCCAGCCCGACGGGCGGTGGGAAGAGGAGCCGGAGCACAGGCGGCACCGCAGGAGGGGCACCGCAAAGGATGCAGACTCGGGACAGGGGTCACTTTGGAGCCCCAGAGCCGCCATGGCTTTGACCCATGCCAACCCCGCCGTACCGCCCCGCAAGGTCTCCCGCGAGCACCCAAGGCTGCCGCAGCCGACACCCCAGGGGCTCCTGGGCCGCTTGCCTCCGCGCCGCGGTCGGAGAGCTCACGCAGGGCCGCCCGGGGGGCCAGCCTGTGCGGGGCGGGCGTCGTCCACCCTGCTGCAGGGGCTCCGGCAGGGTGAGGAAACCTGTCTCAGCAGCCCCTCCTCGCCACGCCTCTGCCCTTCCCTCCCTCCCTCCCTCTCCAGTCCTGAGAGCGGGCTCGCGAGGGGCTCCCCTGCCGGCAGCGCGGTCCTCTCCAAGCACGGCCACCAGGAGTCCTGGCTGGGCTCAGTCGCAGCACATGTTTCCCCCTCGGCTTTCTTCCTCAGACGCGTTGTGTCTGCACCGCCCTCTCTGTTCCTCTGTTTTTCTAATCTTGCCCTTTCTGAAGAGTGAGGATGAGGAGTGGACGCCAAGGAGAAGCAGAGGGGGCCGAGTTGTGACGGCAGTTCAGCGTGTGTTCTCTCTCTGCCTCTCTCGTGTATCTTTGGGCCTGTGTCTTAACCTCTCTTGGTCTCACTGTCCTCTTTCTGATAATCCCCGAGGCAATATTTCAGTCCCATCTGTGATTATGGCAAAGAAACAATAGGTCAAACCATATAACCAAGCAGGTATCTCAAGCCCAACAAAGCTGAACTCACCAACTCACCCAAACCCAGCCCGTTGTGCCGTCATCGCAGGGAATGGGCCCATCTTCCACGAAGTTGCCTGCGCTGGAGACTGAGATGCTTCCTAGGATGTCCTTGTCCTTCCCAACATCTGTCCCATCATCAAGAAGGCGTACACATGCCTCTTGAATCATCTTCTTTTTATGATACACACCATCACAGTCCAATTATTTCAGCCATCCACTGTGATATCAGGTTACTGTCTTACTACAGTGGCCGTCTTACTGGTCTCCCTATCAGGCCACCCAGAATTGTCTATTAATAATACGGACTTCTGATCATTTGCCATCAAAATAATTTAATGGCTCCACAGAGTCTATTGAATACAGCCTGACGTCCTTAGCACAGCATCACAAGGCACTTTGTGATCTGATTTTGTCTTCACTTACATGGTTAGGTTATTACCACTCTACCTTATACTCTATACTCCAAAATTTAACTCCTTGTACCGCCTCAAACAACACATTTCTCTCCTGCATCTGGCCCTTCAGACTTCAAACTCTCAGTCCCAGGAAGGTCCTCTCCCACATTTCTGCCACTGGCAAACCCCTACTGGTGCTTTGAGTTTCTGCCCAAACATCACCAGCTGTCCAGAGCCCTCGCTACTCTCGGCCAGCCCAGGTATTCCTTTATGTAATTCCCATTGCGTGTGTGCACACAGCTTTTACAGCACACATCGTCTGTGATCCTAGTTGTTTACATAGCTGCCTCCTCCCCTCTGGACTATGAGAAATGCTCTTTCTTCTATGGCATCCTCGTGCCAAGCAGTGGTTGGTACATAGTTGGCGATCTGCTAAAGAAGTGAATGAACGGATGAATAAATGGGCAAACAAATGGATAGATGAATTGGCCTGGAAGTTCAGCTGCTCTCCTTAGGGAAAAACAACAAAAATTAGACAGTTTTATTTATTTTCTTGAATCAGGATTAAATCTGCTGACAAATGTGGATTCCTCATTCGATGCCTGGCTCATCGTAGGTACTAAAAAAAAATGCAATTTCCGTTTCTCTTTCTTTCCAAATTGGTCTTTGTTCATCTTCTACCCTCATCTAAGAGTTTGCAGTTACCTGTAGCTGATTCAGAGTAGGAACTATCATAGTGTGAATCAAAGGTGGAGAGTTAAAGTTTTTGAAGAAATGGTATTTAAATGATTGTCATCATAAGTGTTGGTCCTTACTTCTTTGGATTGAAAATCCGCTCATATTGTTCCACTTTTTAAAATACTTGAATGGCTTCCCATTGCTCTCGAAATGTGACCTTGCCTTCCTGTGGCCCGAGGCTCTGTGTTCTGCCCCTCCTGCCTCTCACTGGCCGAGCGTCCCTTCGCCCCGCACTGTGTTTCTTACAGACTGACCTTGCTCAGTTTATTTAGAAGTTTCGTCTGGGCTTGTCATCTTCATATTGTTTTGTTTTGTTTTTTTTTTTTTTGCCTAAAATGCTGCCCCAACTTTGTGACCAAATAACTTGTAGCACATCCCCCGAAGCTCAGAGGAAAAGCCATGCCCTCACAGAGGACTTCCCAAAGCCCTCTGTGAGGCTGCCGCCGCGCTCAGCCTGCTCCTTTGCAGCCCTTAGCGCAGGTGTGGCTATTTGGCTATTTAGGTAACTTTCGTTTGTTTGTTTATTAGCTGACTGTAAGATTTGTGCAGACAAGGGCCCGTGTGTGTTTTGTGCATCATTGTATCTTTAATGCTTAATGCAGTTAATGGCCCCTTGTGGATGCTTAGCGGATAATTGTTGACTGAAGACTCTCTAAGGCAGCAGTTATAATTTCTTTTTTATTCTGTCTACCTCAAAGAAAGTCTGTTTTCCTAGTTTTAAACAATTTACCTTTTGACTAGGATTTGGTACCTTCGGGCAAAGCATACAGCAAGCACCCACTGTGCACCAGGCTTCATGCCTGGCGCTGGTGGGTGTGTGATGGAAGGGGCCCAAGATGTCCAGTGAGTCATCCTGAACTGCCCCGTTCACTGTCCTGTGGCCTGAGCAAGTTTCCTCACCTCTTCGTCAGCTTCCTCCTCTGTAAATCACGATAACTGTTTGTCAAAGTGTTAGCTTCTGGAAGGGCCTTATAAATTATACAACTCTGCACAAGTTGTAGTTACGATCAAGATTTGGTTCCCATTCCCTAGGGGCTCCCGATCTGGGGAGGGGATGAGTATGGTCACTTGTTCCAACTACTCTAACCCAGGGTGGCCTATGTTCCTTACGTTCTGCAAGAATGGAACCTAGGAGACTGGCTTTAGGCTTGATCATTTTGATTTTTGTGGAGTTATCGTCTTTTTTCTTTTTTTTTCCTTTCTTTTTCTTTTCTGTATTTCTTCTTCATTCTTTACCTACCTCTTCTCTCTCTCTCTCTCTCTCTTTCTCTCTCTTTAAGGTTTTGGTCTAAACTTTTCCAGGATAGCTAGGTTTCCTTTCTCTGATTTACCCATGAAGTGTGTGCGTGCTGAGAGGGGAACAGGGAGCAGAGAATCAGAAGCAACAGCCACCGCTGCAGATGTTGAGTTAACCCAGAGAGGAAGCTCTGACCGTGGGTAGCTTGGACCAGCTGTGCACCCTGCGGAGGTCCTGCCCGCTCCCTCCCCGGCCAGGGTCAAGGCAGTCAGCGCCCACCGGGACCCGCCTCCTCACCAGGGAGTTGCCCTGTCACAAGTTCTGCTATCTTGCTAGCCTAATTTTGTTCTTTTGGCTTTTTATTTAATAGTATTTAATAAGTGTCTCTATGAAACTACTGCATGCAAAGAATTCTGCTAGGCTCTGTGATAGTTACAAAGTCTACATAAGATTCAAGTCTGTTATTCAAAGATAATAATAACTGCGAGCATTTAAAGGTGACTAATGTGTACCAGGTGCTATGCATATCTTATCTTATTTCATTTGGTTTATATTATTTTATTTAATTGTCATAGCAACTCTATTGGGGAAGTGCTATTTTTATCTTATTTTGTCTTTGAGGAAACTGAGTTCATGTAACTTGCCCAAGGCCACAGGGCTGTGACCAGCAAAGCTGGAGCTCTTACCCAGGGCAGACTGTCCAGAGCCCATTTCTTAGCATGTGTCACCTCTCCTGTTCGTGGTCTGCCAAGAAAGAAAGGCCTAACGCCTGGTCACAACCCAAGGTGGAATTGGGAAACTATCTATGGCATGCAGGACACAAGACATGCCGAGGGAATACAAAGGCAGGGTGGGGAGGGCAGGTAAGGGTGCACAGAGAGGCATTTGGGAGGGGCCAGGTGCCTCTGGGCAGAGGGAAGAGTGGCCACCTGGAGGAGGAGTGGTAGGGAGTTGTGGAACGATGGAGTGGACAATGGAGATGGTGGGCGGAATGTGACCTGCTTCCCAGGTGACAGCCTTTCCCACAGGAACAAACCGTTATGCTAAAGGGAGAGAGACACCCCAGAGGTCCTACGAGGCTCTGGCTTCCCAGAAGCAGTCTCCGGGAGTAAGAGTTGTAGATCCCCAAATAGTGAAGTGGGGACACAACCTGGAAATCATTTCGGGTTCTGCAGGTGCTCATTGCTCCGCCGCCTGGTTCTGAGCCGCCCTGGCTTCCTGGCGCTCACTCTTTTCCCTGCTCTCTCACGCAGCTCCTGCAGGAGGCCACCATGAGCTCTCTCTGGTGCTCAGGGACAGGAGACGTCATCGAGGACTGGTGTCGATGCGACTCCACTGCCTTTGGAGCTGACGGACTCCCCACTTGTGCTCCTCTCCCGCAGCCTGTGTACGCTTCCCTTTCCCTGCCTCTCCCTCGCATGTCTGCCTCAGCGTCACCCTGCAAGCAAACACTGAGTGTCTACTACTTGCAGATCAATAGGCTGAGCACTAGGGAACAGAAAGAAGAGTATGACAAGCTTCCCTTCAGGCAGCTTGCAATTGACCAGGGGAGGCAGGCATGCAGATTGCTTTAGTAGAAGTGATGATGTGATAAATGTAACCAGAGACATTTAAAGAAAGTGAAGAGGGAATGGCCAAATCTAAATTTGAGCAATGGTGAAGGCTTCATGGAGGAGATGGCACTTGAACTTCTCCTTGAAGGCAGAGAAAATAGGACAGTATAGCTAGAAGATAATTGAGGTAAAAGTGCTGTTGCCATGGAAGAAGCTAGAGATCGATAATGAGCCCTTATCTAGACCAACAGCACAGCCACCTGGGTGCCAGGCAGTGTTAAGTGGTTAGATACTGCCCATTTAATAGACAAGGAAATGGGTTCAAATGGATTAAAGAATTTTCCCAAGGTGATAGAGCAGGAAGCAGAGCCATGGCTAAAAACCACATTCTTAGCCATTGTAGTATGGAGAGGATAAAACTGAGAGATGATTTGGGGTGAGGAGGAAGGAGTAGTGGTGACTGAATTAACACTTACGTTTTGTTGGCCATGAAGATGAATGGTCCACAGTTGGAAAAATAGAAACCTGAAAGCAGGTGCAGGTGTGCGGAGGAGGCCGGTTCCATTTGGGCTTGCCTGGGATTAGAATGGGGTGGCTCTGCAGAGACGGTCAGTGTGCAGACAGTCTGGAGCTCTGCAAAAACGTAAACACCAGAGGTAAGAAGATCTCAATCAGCAACCAAAGAAATGAGAGGTGCAGCCACAGCTATGAGAAAGGGTGCTCTGGAACAAGTATCAAGGGGGGAGAGCAGAGGGCTGGAGACGACCATAAAGGAGGGTCTGCATCTGAGGGGTAGAGAGGGTGAAGTGCTACAAAGGTGCCTGAGAATGAACGTGCCCCATCCCCTTCCCCTCGGGAAAACTAAACAGAACTGGCCAAGCTGAAGGCTGGGACCTGAGACAGGTGCCCCTCTTGGCCTCTAACATGGCATCAGCCACAAGAGTGAAGCACAGAAATGGCATGTCTAATAAAACGTGCTGGTAGGATGAGCTGGAAGGGCATGACCCCTTTGCTGGTAAGGTAAAGAAAGCACAAAGCAAGGGTCAGGCTATGTACAACTGGAGGGCTGAGTAAGCTGGAGCAAGAGACTGCAGGAAGAAACCAGACGCTGGGAGGCTGCCCCCTGGCCTGCTTCATGCAGGTGCAGGTGGGCATTACAGAGCCAGGGCGGAGCAAAAAGGAATCTGAGAAAGAGGAGAATGCAATAGTAGGCTGTCATTATAAGCCAATGTCCTCTCTTGTCTACAGTCTTCCTTCTCTGAGTAGGTGGTTTTACATGCACCATCCATTGGCTTCTTGCTCCTTGTAGTCACGACTTGGGTTTTGTGAGTTAAAAGAGAAGTAAGCTCATTGTTAATAAAAGTCCTAAAAGAAAGGAAGCCACTAGGAGTGGTACTCTTAGGCTGATTCACCAGGTAAGAAAACTACCTTTGAAACCTAACACTGAAGCTACCAAACAGTTATCAGTTAGACACAAGCTCCAGTCATTATGTCCTAGGGCTTGTTTAATTTCTAAACCTGCATTTACTAAATGTCATAGCAAAAGTTCAAACTGGGCTCAATTTTCATAAACAGGAAATGACCATTAAGGACTTTACTTTTCTTGTCAACTCTGATCTCTTCCTTCAGTGGTAGACCGTAGTTTCAGTTGGAAATAGAAATGTACTTTAGTTTTACACAAATCCATGTAATCATATACAGTGCTGTTTCTCAGAAAAGGCCGAGTTTAGTCCATATTTTCACAGAAATTGAGTTCTCAGAAAGTCTTAAATCTTCCTTACTTAAGCTTCCTAATGCTTTTTCTTCAAAATAGCACTCTGCATATGACTCTAATTAATGAGTTTGTCAATATCCACATTGTTTTGAGTCTATTCCATCTTTAATGTCATATGCAAACTATGCACTCCTTCCTAGCAAGCCACTTGCAGAAGAGCATGTGGTTTGTATTATTTTCCCACTAGTTGAATTCCTTACTATTGCTCCCATATCCTCATATATTTTCTCTTTGAAGTTCTTATCACATACTATTCTAACTCACACATGTAATTACGTATTTCTATCACCCACTAAGCTCCATGGGAGAAGGGCTGGGGCGGACTTGAGCACCAGTGCAGCCCCAGCACCGAGCACACCCTTACAGGTGTGGGTGCTTCGTCAGCGTATGTCGAACTGAAATCGAAGATTGCAGATGGTTTGGTATGGTTCACTCGCAGTATTTTGCACAGTGATTCTGTGAGCCGAGTGGAGGGAAAGAGACCAGGATTAGCGGTAGTCATGAGATATGGGAACCAAGGACAAGGTGAATGGCAGGGTGCTTGTCAGGGAGGGAGGCTGGAGTGAGCAGGAACTGGGAAATTTCCCAGAATCCAGTGGTCTAGGAAGAAACAGGGAATTGGAAGCAGGCGAGAAACCTGAGACACATACAAGAAGTCAGGACAAGGCAGTGAATTGAAACCACGTGGACAGTTAGGAGATCCAGACCAGTGAATGTCAACAGTAATTATTAAGTGTATACAAGGCACAAAGAGGCTTGAGATGGCAAGGCAAGACAGTGGTCAAAATGGACAACTTGCAAAGAATGAGGAGACGATGAATTGGGAAAAGCAAGCAAAGACTGGAATCAGGACCTGGGATATTCATAGACACCCAAGAGCAGAGACAGAAACTGAAATCAGAGCCTGAGCAAGCGGACACTGACATCACCCCGAGGAGAACTTGACATGTGGTCAACTTTTTCTTGCCCAGGGAAGCCCCCTAGGGGCATTATTTCCAAACTGATCCTCCTCCCAGGCCCAGCCAGCATATGGCCCAGGGGAAATAAACGTTAGTACCCACAGCAAGAGGGGAAGCCAGGGTCCCTGCCTGGCCAACAGCAGGGCAGATCCTGATAATGTTACAGAAGCTAAGCTATGGCCTTGCCAGTGCGAAGTTCTGCTGAACCCCACTGTCAACAGGTCTTATCTGGGCTTTATATAGACATTCTCTGAGTATTTTTCAAGAGGAAAGCCAGAAATTTTAATATTTTCAAGCTATATAAAGTAATACTACCTCCAAAGCCCCCTCCTCTGACGCATGTAACATGCAGACATTCATTCATCTTTGCTCACCTACTAGTTTATTTGTTTATAAATATCAGTTGAGTTACTAATGTGTAACAGGCACTTGATGCATAGAACATAGATTTCAGAGGTCCTCAAGAACCTTACTATCTAGGGAATGAGATCAGCCCTCAAACAGATCATTTTTGTAGTTGGTTAAGAAAGAAAAGTTTACGATGTGAAACTGGAGAAGGTGACCAGTGCCCAGTGTAGCTCACAGCTGGGTCCTCAGTTTCATGTTCTTTGTGTCTGCAATAGCCTGAGACTCTCCACGGTTTATGAGCCCAGCAGCACCCTCGTGGTCCTGGAATGGGAACACTCAGAGCCACCGATCGGGGTGCAGATTGTAGATTACCTCCTCCGCCAGGAGAAAGTCACTGACAGGATGGACCACTCTAAAGTGGAGACAGGTGAGCATCTTCTACTTCACGGGCTAGTCTTGGTCCAAGGTGGTAAAAAGAAAACAAAAGAAAAACGCACTGCCTCGTGGCTTTGCCCCAGGTCCCCAGCATCACAGGGCAGTGCGGGAGGAGCAGGGAAAAAGAGAAGCTGTTGTCTCTTCCAAGAAGCAAGCATCTTGTCTGTTTAAGAGTTTTTGCATGGTGAGCAACTTCACAGTCTTGTTTTGATTTTGCTTTTCTTTTTGTTTATAAAAGAGGTGTCCATTTCATTGCCTCTAGGCACACTCACAAAGAAACAATACAATACACTAGCTATCCTAGCCCACATTTAAGAAACAATTCTCTGCTAACCACTGCCATGATTACAGAAAAAAAAATTCCATTGCTAATAACCACTCTCCAGGCAAAAGCATGTGCCAACAGATGCCTTGCCCCATGTCTTGTCCTAAAGCAAACTCTGCTTTTGTCAGGTCCAGCTAGAAGAGGGAAACCTTAAAAGGGTGGAAACATCTCACGAAAAATGTTTCATGTTTTAGTATTTCACTGTCTACACATAGGAAATGTCAACATAAATCATTCCTAAAACTTACACAAGAGATGTGGTCAGGAGCAGAATGGCGGCGTCCACTACCTAATTCAAGGCAAATCGCTTCTGGTGAACGTGTCACTGAGGCTTGGGGACATATGCAGCTGCCTTCAGGCACAGAGAGCTGCCTATTGCTTCAGGGTCTCTTTCTCTATGTGCACAGGCATTGCGAAGATATGGCAGTGACCACTGTTCTCTGTCCCTGCCAGAAACATTTTATGAAAGAGCACATAGATGTGGTATGTGCATCTTGCCTTAGTTGGGTCTGAACTAACTCTAGACAAATGGCTCTAAGTTGATTGGTTAAATATGAAACAGCCAGAAAAGACCATTCCTTCTAGGTCTCCTTTCTCTACCAGGAATTTGAGAAGATTGGGGACCAAGCAATTTTACTGTTAAGTTCCATCAAGTTGATTCTATCTCCTCATTGCTTGGTCATTAGTATTTCTCACACCTTTCCCATTCCTTCCCCTCTGGGCAGAAACGGTGCTGAGCTTTGTGGATGACATCATCTCTGGAGCAAAGTCTCCTTGTGCCATGCCATCTCAGGTGCCAGACAAGCAGCTTACCACCATCTCTCTGATCATACGCTGCCTAGAGCCCGACACCATTTACATGTGAGTAACACAGCACACGCCTGACTAGTGTCTCCTTTCCCTTGAAGTCCCAGGGCTTTGCACTGGTTTCTTGTTGTTACTGGAGTTCCCTTAGAGACCCGGTAAAAGATGTTGAGTCTCCAAGGTCTCATCCCAATGGGCATTATAAAGAAATTTCTTGAGTGCGTAGGCACAGGAGTGGGAAGGATCTTGAAAGATAAAACTGTCCTGTCCCTCAAGGAGTTTGCAAATAATGGGAAACAAAAAACTAACTGTAACATAGGCAGAATGAAATACATGTTAGATAGAAGAGCAAGGAGCATTTGTAGAAGAGAAAAGAAAGAAGTGATTAATTCCAACTAGAGTGGGTATCATCTAAACTGGGTTTCGTAGAATTTCAATAGCAGAGCAATGTTGGAAAAGGCTCATCAGGCTCAGGAAACAAAGGCAAAAGCGAAGAAGCAGGAAGATAAGTAGCAAATAGTCCAGCAGGGCTGAAGCAGGTGGTGAGTAAAAGCAAAAGGAAGAAAAGGAGACTGGGAAAATAGAGTAAATGCTGAAATTCAGAGGAGATTATTACTTTTTTTTTTTTTTTTGAGGAAAAGAGTAGAATACCAAGAACTCCACTTTAGAAAGCTAACTTCAGTGGCATTGAAATAATTTATAGAGGCTAGATATGGTCAGCATTTTTCTGTAAAGAAAATACAGTGAACTATATCATGGCACTTGGAACAGCCCTATTCTGTCTGTGAACTCTTCCCCATTTCCCCCTGTGCTCTGGGAACCCTTGTAAAATATTTGTGAAGCAGAGAGATAAAAGATGCCAAAGGAGGAGACACAGTGATAGAATCTAAGTCATGATGGAAAACTCCAGGCGCTAAGGCGGAATTCATAGTGATGTAGTTCTGGGACCTTTTGACCCATCAGTATGAAAAACATCTAACAGTTTACAGATGAGGTCACAAGAGTAGAGTCAAGGTTTCCAGACTAAATCATTTCCATTCCCACCGTTAAACAGTTCAAAGATGAAAAGCACTCGAAATCTGAGTGGCGCTGATTGCAAGATGAACTTGGATGCTCAGGCTGAATATCTTCAATACAGAAACGAGACGTAACTATGGGCCCGGCACGAGGAAAGTAAAATACATGAGACAAGTGACATTCTGGAGGGTCTGGACAGTATATACAGACACAGCTGATGACACCGAGACCACGGATGTCCGCCCACTTTTTGGGTGATGCCACCAATGCCATGACCCTGTAGCTGGCAGGCAAAGGCTGGGGGAGCGCAGGCCACCTCCCATGCTGCAAGGCGTCTCAGACCAGCAAAACTGGCACTGCCACTTACAAGGGTCAGTGATCCCTAAGCTGTGACTAAGTCACAACCGGTTTTATAATTAGGAATTCCAGTTTCCTGTGAGCGAGAGCCTGGCGTGGTTGCGTTAGGAGTGCCCTCGGGCCCCCACCCGGCACCCTGCTCCCACGGGCCTGACTGGGCTGCGTTTCCTATCAAAGGCTCAGGCCGACCCCCTCTTCCACCCTTGCTTCCTTGGCGATCATCCAGTGCTGCCTCCTACGTCTTGTAAAACAGGGACGTTTGCTGAGCATTGAAGACGGGGAGGCGCAGGCTGAGGGCGAGGCTAGCCCTGCTCTGGTTTCTGCCCACCAAGTGACCATGAGCAAGACTCGCCTTCCACAGCCAGGGCGTGCTGGCGCCCAGCACCCGGCTCCGTGGCGGGCGGTGGCAGAGGCCGAGGCTCCACAATGTGAGTGACTTCTCCGGCATCGTCCGCTTACAGGCCACTCCGGTCCTGTGGGGACCTGGCGGCGCAGTCCCGTGGCCTCGCGAGCGGCATGGAGCTGGCGTGGAGCCGGCATGGGCGGGCGTGGGACAGGCGTGGGAGGGTGGGGGGGCGGAGCAGGTGCGGGGCGGGCGCTGGACGGGCGTGGGGCGTGGGGCGGGCATGGGGGATGTGGGGTGGGGGTGAGGCGTGGGGGGACGTGGGGCGGGCGTAGGGCGTGAGGGGCGGGAGTGGGGCAGGTGCGGGGGTCTGGCGAAGGGCGAGGGGGTGGTGGGCGTGGGGTGTGCGTGGGGCGTGGGGTGGCGTGCGTGGGGTGTGGGGTGGAGGATGGCATGCATGGGGTGTGCGTGGGGAGTGCGTGAGGCGGGGGGTGGCGTGCGTGGGACGTGGGGCGGCGTGGGGTGGACGCGGGGCGGGCGCGGGGGCCGGCGTGGGGCCAGCTTGGAGCTGGCTCCGGCCGGGACCGCAGAGCCAGAGCCGCCAGCCTGGTCCTGAGATGACCGGCCGCGCCGCTCTGGCAGGGCCGTTGCGCAGGAACCGCTCGGAGCCTCGCTGGGAGGGATCTGAAAGTGTGTCTGGTCCAACATCTTCATCCCGCAGATGAGGAAACTGAGGCCAGAGTGGGGAGGCGACCTGCCAGCTTTCCTGCTTTGCCCCTGGGCACAGCGGTGCTCACAGGGGGCTGCTGTCTGTCCGGCACGTGACAGCAGACTGGTGACCAGGGACAGGATGGCAGAGACCACCGCCAGGGGTGGAGCGCGGGAAGGCAGCGCACAGGGCACCTGTGGCCGGGAGGCGTGCGGGTCTTCCGCACCTCGCTTGTCAGGTCTTTGAGCCCCGCCCCTGGCGCTGGAGCTGCTCTGTGTCGCTGCACAGCGCACAGGCTGGTCAGCGCAATCGCCAACCCTCTAGCCACGGAAGGACAGTCCTGGCCCACCGAGGTGCGAGGAGCGCAGGGCTGGGACAGGCAGCCCGTGCCCTTACGCAGGCGGCCGCACACGGGCCAGAGCTTGCCTCCTCTGCCCCGCAACCCGGCTGACCCTCTGGCTGTCCGGGGACTCAATGGTGGCAACAGTAATGCTAATAATAAGCGGAGAAGGCCTTACTCAAGTGACTGCAGGTGGCATTTCCAGCTGACACTGTGTGAGCTGCTCTCGGGCCTTCACGGTGAATAAACCAGCTGCTCTTTCTGGCCGAGTGGGTGCCGTGGAGCAGCGGCTCTTAGGCCAGGCCGCATCCCTGTTCAGAGGTTGTGTGAAGCATGTCCTTTCTTAATACCTGCTTCCTACTGAAAATAAAATATGCTGTTAAAAATGGTAAGAGCTTAGGAACCTAAATTTTGCGCTAATTGCCCCATTAGGGGGTGTGAGAATTAATGTGAGCATTGGTGTGTTTGTCCCAGCTCAGGGACAGAGTTTAGCTGGAACCTATAGCAAGAGAGGACACAAAGCAGAGCTGGGACGGGCTTGGGGGTGGTTGGGGACCGACTGACAGACAGGACCCATCTGACAGCCAACTTGGTACCTGAGTCTTAGGAAATTTCCCATATAGTCCAGGGAAACAGCTGGAACTTAAAGGTCCAGTATTAAATAATGGTAGGCTACAAAAGGTAACTGGAAGCCAGCTATACAGTCTAGGGCAGGTGGCCCTTTAATGTACTGACAGGTGGCATCAGATAGCCTGTCCCAGGGTAGCCAGACTGCAGCCCTGACCTGCCTTCCAAGGCCTCACACGGGGCTCTGGGAGGCCAACAGGAAAACCCAGAGCAGGGCGGGACACAGAGGGGCCAGGGCACCCGACAGGGCAGGCTGGGTCCCCGCAGCAGAAACAGGGCTGGGCTCAGCCCGGAAGTCGCATGCGCAGCCTGGGGGCAGGCACTGAGGGCAGACGGGCAACTGCTGGGACAGGGCCAGGACCATGCTGGCCCCAGAGCGTCGCAGGGGGAGAACGGGGCCTTGTGGCTCCCGACTCTGATGAGAGCTGGCTGCTGGACCGCTCAGGGCAGACCCTGCCAGAAAGAGCGAGCGACACCACCCCTGGGCAGGAGAGGGACTTCCTGCACGCAAGGGCCCATTGTTGGCGTCTCTAGCGAGAGAAGGGGGCTCACCCAGGCTGACAGAGGACAGTTCTACCAAGATTTGTGTGACATTGTAAGTCTTCAGGCTTTCTCACTTCCTACTAAATGCAGGGGGCACAGGTGTGAAGAGGGACTTTGTCCCCTGTGGGAACCAGATCACGAGGTGCAAGTCTGAAATCTGCCCTGTGGGACCCCTGGGCCCATGCCTGAGGACCTCAGCTCAGGGTGGCCTAGGCAGGCGGCAGAGGTGGAGACTGGATTATGGGATCGACCCTGAAACAGAGCTGGCTCCACACAAGGCTGATCAGCTGCATCAGATGCAGGGTTTGGTGGCCTCAGTCACAGATCTAGAAACAGCACCAAGAAGAAGCTGATTAGGCACGTGGGGCCAGATGATGGAAGTTTCCGTGGCTGCCATCGCGAGGGTCCAGACTGCCGCTGGGAAGCTGTGTAGGGCGTTGTGCCAGGGGCCTGCTCAAGCCGTGGAGGAGAGGCAGGGTGGGGAGAGCACCGTGGCGGGATCTGAGGTTCCGAGCAGGGTCAGGGTGGGGTTTAGCACCAGGCGAGACTGTTGGTCAGAACGCGGGAGACAGCGGAATGGATTAGGCCACCTTGAGCAGGTAGGAGGGAAGCCGAGCTCTTGGCCCTGGCCCCACAGCGAGGGCGGGGCAGTGCCACGGAGTGCAGCGGGCGTGGTGTGGCCTGCCGTCCTGAGCCCGCCAGCGTGTCACATTCCGTGTCCTCAGGGCTCCTGGCGGGATGGATCCTGCCTGGGGCAGGCCCATGACTCCAGCGTGAGGATTTGGGGAAGCGAGAAGGAGGACGAATGACATATCGGGGTGCACAGGCTCTCATACTGACCATTCTCCGGCGTCACTGTGAGGGGAGGGAGTGGCGGAGCAAGGTTGTCTCTTCTCTGTTGAGAGAAACATAGTTCTTGGCAGAATCATTAGGCAATTTCTATTTCTTTTCTATTCCACCCGTTCACCTGTTTTAAGCCCAGCTGACATCTACCTGGGCCACTCTGTCTTGGGGCATCTCCCTCCCCTTCCCCTCTCTTCCTCCCTGTGACTCCAAGAGCAAAGAAAATCCATGTTTGCCAATACATGCAGCCTCCCGTGGCCGCACAGCAGGAAGGGAAGCAACAGGAAAGGCAGCCTTCATGATTTCCTTAGGCTCACGGGCTGGTTATCAGAGCCCTGGACGCACAGCACCAGGGCTGCTGGCCACGGCTGTGCTCGGCCAACCCCTGAACAGCACCCAGAGTTCCTCGTCATGCAGCTCCGTAACCCAAGGGGATTTTACCTTCAGCCTCTGGGAGCCAGATTCCCATCCTCTTCCTGGGAGGGCTCTCAGAACCTGGTCTTCACACTGGTGGGGCCCCGACGTTTCCACTCTGGGTTCTTGGTCTGCGGTGGGGCGTTCTCGCTGGGCACGTGAGCCGCGTGTGAGAGCGGAGTGTGCGCACGGCAGGCCAAGACACCCGCCGCCAGGGCTCCCTTGCACCTCACTTGAGAGAAGGAAATTGTCCTCTGTCCTTTGCACAGAGGTATGGACTGAGCACAGGACAGAGCAGAAGGGAACTAATGTGATTTATGCGGTGTCATGAATCGTATTATGTCCCAGGTCTTCCCGTGCGGTGTTATCTCATTCATCCTCACAGTGACTTACAAGTAGTCTTACTTTCCTCTCATCTCTGTCTCACAGATAAGAGAAAATAAAGCTCCCGGGAGTTAACTGTAACTCCACATGGCTTCAGACCCAAGTTCTGGGCATCTGTTTCCAAAGATACGTACTCTTTCCCTCAGCTCAGCGGTTGCCAACATTGAGCTGGCCTCAGCATCACCCGGAAGGCTTGGTACAGCACGGAGTTCTGGTCCCCATCCCAGAATTTCTGATTCATTAGGTCTGGGGTGGGGCCTGAGAACTGTCACTGCTCACAAGTTCCCAGGTGATGCTGGTGCTGCTGGTCTGGAGGCCCGGCTTGCAGAGCCAGTGTCCTACGCCCTGGTGCTTTGTGTCATTGATCCATCCAAGACGGCAGGTACAGCCCAAGACCCACAGGGAGCAGGAGAGGCTCGAGGCTGCATGCTCTCTGCCCGCCCTGGTGGCCTCCACCCACACTCGCTGATAACCCTTCCCCCTCCGGCCAGGTTCACGCTGTGGGGAGTGGACAACACAGGCCGGCGCTCCAGGCCAAGCGATGTGATCGTGAAGACACCGTGCCCGGTGGTGGATGATGTCAAAGCCCAAGGTAAGAGACACTGAGGTTAGCAGAGCCCAAAAGGGGTGCCCAGGAGGCCCCTTGTGGTGAGGAAAGAGAGACCGAGGGAGTCAAATGGAACAACCTGCAGTTCAGTAGGGAAGGGGATGGATTCAAGGCCCAGTATAGAAGCATTGCCTTTCCAGAACCCTTCTCAGCCTCTGCCCCCGGCAGAAGTCCGCCTTGCATCCCAGCGTTCCACACAGTCGGTGAGTCAGGGAGCCGGGGAGACCCCAGCATACGCGGCCATGCGCTAGGTGCTTAGGCCTGCAGTGAACTACCTGTGGCCTCTGCCCTCAGCACACTGATGGGGTCACTTACTGTGTTGGTTTTTGTGTATCTGAAAGATTATTTTGTATTAAAGCATAGCAAGGCTGCAGATTTGGAATTAATTGATAAATCACTTTCACCCTAGCAAAGATGCATCATAATCTTTAATTCTGTATTTTGGAGTTACTACAGGCTAGTTCTTTGGTAAAGAATTGTCTTCTTCAGTACAAGCCCCTCAGCCAGGATCGGTCCCTGCTAACCGGGAAGAGTTGTCTCAGGCAGTGCCCTTGCCCAGCGGGCTCACCTCTTCCTCGCCACGCTCCCTGACCGGTCCGGACGTCGTCCCCTCGTCTAAGGTTTTACATCCCGTCCATGATGGGTTGTACATCCCATTTTCTGTCGTGGTCGCCACTTCTGCGGGGCTGCAGCACTAATTAAAGTGATCTGATCAACCACCAACGTGGTGGAACTGAGCTGATAACACTTGCACATTAACAGAGACATTGGCGGATGCTGGAACTTTAGGCTGTGCCAGTCTCACTAAGAGAAACATTGCGGCCAAGCTACTTTGCTGACACCCCTCAAATCGCCTTATACTGGCTCTTGAATCCAGTTGTATCGGATTAGCCAGGAGGGATGTAATCCCAGAATGTTCAAGGAGTGACTCCACGATGATGCAGAGCCACAGGGGAAGGGTAACCTGACCCGACTTCAATTCAAACCACTGATCTTGTAGCACTGTACAAATTCTGAAAGGATTTTCACACGTAATCTGCATGGCACGTTAAGGGCGTGGTTATTTTCAACACGGACATCTGATCTTATCATGGGCCCTTCTTAAAACTTTAATAGATTGCTATTCCTCCGTGACAAAAATACTTAACAGGCACATTAGGGAATAATGGAGTGGCCCCTTCCCACTTCTCTAGAACCTTCTTGCCAACTCCCTTGGTTGATCTCTGTATTCCAGGGTCACTGCCTTTCTTGTGCCTCCAACACCATTACCACTTCTACCACAGGGCCTTTGCACGTGTTGGCCCTATCACCTAGAGTGCTTTTATCCCTCTCAACTAATTAACTCCTCACAGTCTACAGATCTCAGATCAAGTGTCCCTTCTTCAGGGCAGAAGGGGGCAGGAGCCACTGTTAGGTGTACTTATAACACCATGTTTCTTTCCTTCAGAACGTTCATCTCAGTTTGTTATTGTATTGATGTGCTCTGTGTCTGCTACCTCACTAGACAGTGGGCTCCGTGAGGCCTGGGGCCCAGTCTCTTTGCCCACTACTCCGTCCCTAACACCTGGGAGGCAGCGAGGCCGACTGGCCGGTCACAGAAGAACCTCACCTCTGGAGTCAGCAGCCCACATTCAAATCCTGCTTCACCGTCGGATTGCTTAATCTGGAGCAGGTTACCCCACCCTTGTCTCAGTTTATTCATCTGTTAAATGGAGAGGCACTCTAGCTAATAAGGTTCCAGTGAGATTTAAATGAGTTAATTTAAAATAGTAAAAAAGAAAACCAAAAACAAAAACAGTGCCTGGCACATAGTAAGTGCTTAGTAAATGTTAACCACCATTCATATCAAAACCAAGTATACATCCTGCCCTCTAATAGGAATTCAGTAAGTATTTACTGAATGAATAGCACATCACACCCATTTTACAGATGCAGAAACTGAGATTTGGAGTTCAATAAGGAAGGTGACCAAGGCCACCGAGCATGTCACAGAGCCAGCACTCACACTCATTATATGACCCCATTCCCATTCTGTCCACAATGTTACCATTAGATATTTAGAGGGCTATTATGCAAAAGACTGAAAGTATTTCCTTTGTCTCTGAATACTGATGAAGAAGGAAAGGCTCACATTTTGAAAGCGTGCTCAGGTTAGATACAAAGCAATTCTCCCTTTCAAGGCGTTCGTGTCTGCTGCGACGTCAGAGCAGAGTGGACGGCTTTGTGGGGAGCACACGAGCCTCACTCTGGAGGAGTGCTGCTGCTTGCAGGGGCTGAGCTGAACGGCTTTGGAAGCCGTCTGCAATTTCTAGATGATGCAAGCAGCGTCTGAGCTTGCACACTCCTGGTGAGAGACTAGCCGGAGAAGACCCGTGGCACGCTCACTTCCTCGCCTGCTGGTTTCTTACTCTAAGCCAGAGGGGCGCAGGCTGCGAGCAGGTGTGCCCGTCACGTGGGTGTTGGAGAGTTTGCTGGTGCCCTCGCCACCTGCAGGGCTGGGTGTGTAGAAAGCAGCTCTGGAAACAACAGTAGCCAGGGTAGGGAAGTTAGCCAGAGACAGGCCACTACTCAGTTTTCTCTGTCGGGCTCGCCTGGGTCGCTCTAGTCCCACGCAGAGTCCCTCCAGGTGTGCGCTGCCTGCTTGTGCTGGGGGAGAGTTTCGGCATCCCCACAGACCGTCTGGGAGCCAAGAGCAAATCGGCGCAGAGAGAATGCGGCAACACTCCCGGCCCTGCGAGCCTTCAGCCCGGACGCTGTCCTGCACAGGCTACATCCAGAAATTAATGAGTCGGACTAATTGAGGGTATCCTTGCAGATTAATACCGTTCTAGCAGTTCTACTAAAACACCATATGCTTTGCCTTTCTCGAGCCCAGATGGTGATCATAAACACCATCATGATGTGCTCAGTGCTGAGTGTAAATCTAATAACAAATGGGAATTACCGTTTCAGTGACCCAGCGCATGGCTTCAGCTCCTAATTATCTACCCGGGAGCCAGACCCTCACATGAACATTTTTACAAAGCTAGATAGTTTCGATGAAGAATTTTACCACATCGTGACACTAAAGCCACTGTGGAAATAAGTTTCTACCAAAGTTTTGGTGAAACGAAACAGCCTTCCCAGCAGGTGCGTGCCCGCGTCAGTGGCATGCCTGGCCCTCTGGGCTGCCCGGCGTGGGGCGCAGCTTGCTGAGGGCTCGTCATGAAGCCCCTCCAGGGAAGGCTGGTTCCCAGGCGCCCTCCACAGTGCCCTCCCTGACTTCCTGATGCCAGACGTAGATATTCGTCCACTCCATGCGTGCTCCTTCCGTAGGCTTTACCCAGCCCTGCTGCTGTATGCTAAAGAAATAAAGCTAAGCACACTAAAAACCTGTTTCCAAGAATTTTACTATCAGATTTCATGAATTTATTAATTCCTCCAACAGACATTAAGCCCTTACTGCATACCTCTCCTAGGGATTTGGAGCAAACCTCTTGCCTTATGGAGACACCAACAATAAAAATAGTAAAATATATCATATTGCAGATGGTGATACATGTCACGGAGACAAACAAACAGGGATCTGGGACGGAGGTGCTGAAGGTGGAGTTTCAGCCAGAGTGGTTGGGGACCCAGATGGGAGGAGGAGCCCCGCAGACATCAGGGCCAGATGCTTCCAGACAGAGGAGCAGCGGGCGGAGATTCGCGCGTGTTAGAGGAAGACGGAGGAGGGCGGTGGGAGGCAGAGGAGCAGCAGAGCAGCGCCAGGACGCCCCTCACCTGGTGGTCAGGGCGGCGCACTGACCAGGTTGGGATGGGCAGCCCTGGAGGACTGGAGCAGGGGCTGGCGCGGGGCCTCGGCTGCTGCGGCCGGCCGCCGCGTGGAGGGCAGATGCGAAACACACGGTCTGGGGGGGCAGTCAGAAGCCGCGGCGATGCAGAGGAGAGATGCGGTTTTCTTAGACTTGCATGGTGGTGGCAGACGTGGCCAGAAGTGGCCCAATTCTAAATTATTTTGACAGTAGCCCCACAAGGTTTGCAAGAAGAGGAAGTGGAGTGTGAGCCTCACCGCAGCTGTGCACAGCGCCGTGTGCAGGGCGCACGGAACGCCCGGGATCGCGAGCCAGCTCGCCACAGCCCGGTGGCCTGGGTGGGCAGAGGAAAGTCGGAGGAGAGGACAGGCTGGGGGAGAGCACTTGCAAGGGCCACGTGGCTTAGGGCGGGTAGAGAAGGAGGCAAACACAGGGCTGATGCCTGCGGTGAGCGCAGGAGCCGAAGGACGCGCACGTCCGTCGTGGGAGAACAGATTGCTCGGCTGTGAGAAGCGCAGAGCTGGGAAGGGGCTGCGTTCGTGGGATGTGACATTAAGGTTTATGATTTCAGAGATAGAACAATTATCCACCTTTGAGGACTCGGGTCTGAGTTTAAATCTAGTGAAATATATGTTTTTCAGAATATTAGGGGTACAAACGCCTTGGTTACACGAGTTGCCTTTGCGCACTGCCCGAGTGGGAGCGCAGGTGCGCCCAGAGCCCAGAGCGCCCCGCACACCCGCCGGGCGGTGACTGGCTTGTGGGGGTTAGAGGTCACTTTTGCCCCTGCAGTCACTCCTCCCATTTACTCAGACTAGATTCCCCAGTTCCTTGGACTCGGGTGTTTCAGTCTCTCTCTTAGTCTTAGTCTGTCTGTCTGCGTCTCTCTCTGTCCCTGTCTCAGAACTGGGAAGGCATGCTTTAGTAAAGAACGGGTAACAATAACAAGAATACCTGCTCTCGTCCTACTGTCCACCTCCCCCGCCTCATTGCAGACCTCTGGCCTGTGTGCCGCCCAGCGGGCGGGGCCTCTCCCCGCCTGCGCGCCCTCTCCCCGCCTGCGCGCCCTCTCCCCGCCTGCGCGCCCTCTCCCCGCCCGCGCGCCCTCTCCCCGCCCGCGCGCCCTCTCCCCGCCCGCGCGCCCTCTCCCCGCCCGCGCGCCCTCTCCCCGCCTGCGCCTGCGCGCCCTCTCCCCGCCTGCCCTCCTGGCCCCTGCAGCTCAGCCTCCCCTGGGCGTGTGGGCGTCCACTTTCCCACGACACCTGCCGTGACCGCTGCGCCGGGCCTCCCAAACCTCCTCATCCTGTTTTGTTTCCCCACTTCCCAACACATTATATTCTACTTATTTATTATGCTTGCTGCTTCCCTGTCTCCCACCACTAGCTAGACGTAAGTGCTGTACGGACGAGACTTTGTCAGACTCTCTCACTGATGTAGCCCAAGGGCCTAGAAAAATATCAGGCACAGTAAGCATTTGAAAAAGGCTTTACTGAGTGCATGAATAGATGTGAGCTTACTGTGTCTAGACATCGTGCTAAAGAAAAGTTTTACATTGAATATCACTTTTAGTCTTACAGTAATCATGGAGGCTGTATATTCTTAACTGTCATTGAAAAGACAGGGAAACTAACACACAGAGAGGTTAAGTCACTTGTCCAAGGCCACACAGCTAGTGTAGTGGAATCCAACTCCATGCGAGGCCATGGTGCCTGTTCTTAACCACATCCCCGGTGCCGAGAGCCTCAGTCCCAGCCCTATTCATGTATTCTGCTGCCTGCGAGATCTCAGTTCCTTTCTAATAACTGAGTTTCCTTTCTTTGTGATGAGGCTACGTAGACAGGCTTCTCATCATCTTTTCTCAGGCATTTTACCTGTTCCTGAACACCATGCATGTCAAAGAGGGAGAATACAGGCATCTGTCTCGAATTACTTGAGACTTCTGTGAAGCCAAAACTAGGCAAAACTACAACTGAAAATACCCATATTATTATTGAGTCTTTAGAGTTAGTGAATTTTTGAGATGTTCTGAAGGATAATGAAATAAAATCTCTAAATTCTATCTGTGGAGATAGGAGGCGGCAGAAACAGTCCTGCTCTGGGAGCCCGGAGCATAGATCTTCCCGAATGCAGCATCCCGTTTGCTGGCGCAGGTTCTTGGGCACGCTGATGGGTTAGAGTATCTGGGTCTCGGAGGCTGGTGGCGGAAGCAGGTGGTGGGATCCGCCCGCCTTCTCCGGCTGCATGTGACTGTTGCCTTACGGGAATGGCGAATGGTCAGAAAACACCTTCCCAGCCATCCCTGTTGCTCAGCAAGGACTGTCACAACCAGGGCCTGGGGCCTGGGCCACTCTTTCCCGTTAAAACAAGATCAGATTGGCATCAGTGAAGGGATGGGAGAGGAAGCCCAACCCCCCCATCTAAGCTTTGGTTTGCACACCAACGTTTTCCTGGTCATTCTTCTCTTAGCAAACACTCCCTGCCTCCCATCAAACACAACACAGCCCTTTGAATAGTCCCTTGGCTTCTGTTATCTCAACTCCAGAATGACAGATTCCCCGCACACCTACAAGGACTCCCTCTTATTTGGCATCTGAGGCCAAGCAGAGTGATGTCCTCTACTAGAGATAGCACCCCAGATTTGCTGTCCCACAGTGCTGCCTCCTGTGCCTTAATTTGTTACACAATATCAAGTCCTGAGCATCTGTGCAAAATAGCAACAGCAGACAGAAGTACTTCTAGATCTTGAATCCAGCCCACATTGGCTATGCAACTTTGGGCAGGTAATCTGGCCTTTCTCTGAATCTCCTCATTTGCAAATCAGGGATATTCATATCTATCTTGCAGTGGTGATACAAGGGTTGGAATACACATAAGTTAAGATCTTGGGTATTGTAAGCCTTTACTAAATACCTGAAGATACCATAGATTTTTATTTTCTGAATCACTGTCTTCTTTATTTCTTGATCCCATTTTAACAACTTGAGAATTTTAACAACCTGAAAATCTAAATGGATTTCTGAACTGAAATTATGTTTAATGCAGCAAATGTGCTGGCTACACATTTGGTTGCTGAAGGATCGGTATAACCTGGTATGGAGAAGTATCACCGAGAAATCTCCCCCCTAAAGTAGATTCGTATTGCTCCCAGAGGCATCAGCTCCTTCATTCAGCTAACATTGTTTAATCTGCTATGTTGCCTGGCCTGTGCTATCCACTTAGGATGCCGGGAGAGCGAGCTCCGGCTCCACAGGCCACGGGCAAGACAGAGAAGTAAGGAAATCATTGTAGTGTGTGGACAGGATAAGTGTAGGAACATTATTCATTCCAACCCAGGAAACTCCTGCATCGAGGACTTTGTCATCACCAGCAGCCCCGAATTCACTTGGAATTGCCTTTGAGCTAACAGAGGATCTGGTGGGCAAAGTTCTGGCTTCAGAACCTACAGGCTTAGTTTCTTCATCCCCAGAATTAACACTGGGTCCAAAACAAAGCATTGCTCTCTAGATATTAGTTTTCCAGCTGTTTAAGGAGAAAATGTAAATACGTCTCCTCTTTCTGACAGGTTTAAAGAGGAAATGTTTAATGATAAAGTCCTTTGAGCTCCATAAGAAAAAATGCCAAGGCTATACAAAATCATTGCCACTTGGCCAAGTCACCAAGTTCAGTCTTTGCAATGCGTGCTTTTGAGGGAAAAATGTCAGAGATATAAATTAAACTGAAAGATGACTCATTTGAAACTGCAGAAGGTTCAGTTTCTTATCTCTGCAGATCTCCATGCTTGCCTTTGTATCTGGTCTAGGTGGTCTTAGCAAGAGTTCCGTGTTTCCACAGTCATGGCTCCCCCAGGTTCTTCACGTGACTTGCAAGCACTACCTGACAGTGCCTGACTTCATCCCTGAGCCGAACGCCTGCCACCTGCTGCCCAGGGCGGCCCTGTTGCTTTTGCAGAACCACTTGGTATTCAAGCATATGCACTCTAGAAGTGCAGGGTGGGCAGTACCTCACAGGAGCGATTTGGACCGATGGCAACTGGAAGCTAGAGATAAGATCTTCATTCTTTCCGCCCCTGGATGGACCAGTGGAGATCCAGTGACTTCGCAGGTCCTCTCCTGCACAGTGCAGCAAGCAGCTTGTCAGGAGGGCGTGGCCGGCTCGCTCATGCACGCCCTTGTCCTGACTCGCCCTGCTTCCTTGCTTCCTGCCCCTGTATCCTCACTCCTGTGCCTGCCAAGGAAGCATTGGCATGTAAGCTTTGGCCTCAGGCTATGTGTTTTTAGGAAACCTGGGTAACGACAAAGAATATTGTAACTGGAGTTGACCTTAGAAGTATTCTAGTCAAAGGTTTTCATTTTATAGAACAGAAAATTGAAGCTCAGGGCGGCAGACGTAAAGAGAATTACTCAAATCACTAGGTTCAATATTCTTTAAGTAACACCATGTGCACACACATAAGTATACATGAATATGTGTATACACATGCGCGTACACACGTGTGTATCTATTATATATAATATATAGCACACATATATTAATATATATAAAATGTTGTTTGCCTTTGCTTCCCTCCTCAGAAGTAGCAGACAAGATCTACAATCTCTTCAACGGCTACACCAGTGGGAAGGAGCAGCAGACTGCCTACAACACCCTCCTGGATCTGGGCCCCCCCACCTTGCAGCGCGTCCTCTACCACTACAACCAGCACTACGAGAGTTTTGGAGAATTCACCTGGCGCTGTGAGGATGAATTAGGCCCCAGGTAATCCATAAACTGCTGTGTCTCTTTTAAAGACTCTGCAAGTTCGTACCTCTGACACTGTAGTGCCGCGTCCATGGAGTTGCAGAGACTTCCTGGGTGAGCTTACGTGCTCAGAGCGTAAGTCGCTGATTTTAGATAGCACACACCGTGCAGATTAGTTTTGGACGAGCTCCACCTAAGGAGTGAAGTCAAGAGTGCATTTCCTGAACTCTGAAGAATGTTTGCCCTTGACCTGGCCCACACTCCTCTTTGTCACACTGACACAGCGTTCCAAATGCTAAACCTGTAGGTGCCAAAGGCTTAGTCTTGTGAAAGAAAATTAGGAATTTTGTTAAAGAAGTTATCCAAAAATATTTATTGCATATGAACTTTGTGTATGTCATTTATATCACAAAGACTTATTTTGAGTTAAAGTCTACATTCTCTTGAAAGGCAACATGGGAGTAGCCAAAGACCCACTTTGTGTGGGACCGTCCTTGACATCTATCTTGGCCAAAGTTAGGGTGGCACGGTGTTCGCCAGCTCCCCTGGCGCCAAGGCTACAACTTCCTAACACTCAATACCCACCATTTTTAGGTTGCACAGACTGGACAGAGTTCTTGGAAAGTAAAGACTAGGAAGAATGTGTAGAGCTACCACCTTTCTTTCGCCCCACTCATCATCATTGTACATTGCTGCTTTGATGAAACAGACTTGCCTGGAGATACTGAAATTGTTAGGTCAACATGATAAAGAGGATTTTCATGTGGAACATTGGTACCCATGTGTTCCCAAATTATATAGGAGCTCATTTAAAAAAAGATAAAAATAGGGTAAGGGATATAAGAATAGGAAAAGGAAAGAAAGAGAAAATGAAGGAAAGAGAGAAAGGTTGGGGGAGAAAGGAAAGAAGGGAATTATGAAACGAACACTGTAGAATCCTTTGGCACGTGAAGAATCCTCGCACTCCAGCCAACAAGGCAGAACGAAAGTATCTCCCAAAAGTCATCCCATCCGTCTGACCTCTGGCCTCTCTAGGGGGAGACTCAGTCTCAGTCAGCCTATTGTGACCTGCAATTTTAAACTTTCCTAGAAAACCATTGTTCAGGACATTTTTTCTCTATTTTCTTACTTTTGAAGGAAAGAGGAAAATTAGGGTTATCTTCTGAAATAAAACGATTTCATGTGTAAGATCTGGCAGGATCTTTCACCATTCCATAAATTATTTCCTGATGTTTCTCGAAAGGTTGATGGTTCTTGAGCAAACAGAAGCTGCTGCTATGGACCAGAGGGAGATATGTAAGGGACATTTACTTTATTTTGTCTCAGTTTTGATGAGAAGCAAACCCTGGGTTAGAAAGTAGATGCAGAAATGTCCTCTTTGCTCCATACCCTGTCCTTCCTCCTGACCTCGTCTTTACTGTCACCTGACATCACCCGATCTCCCTCCTTCCCCTCTGCCCCTCCCACTCCCCATCCCTCCGCTCTGCCTTCTGACGTTCATTGAGTGTACATGCACAGTTCTTCGTCAGGGAACATGAATGTCCCAGTTGGAATAGCACTAGCATTGAGCATATCATCTCGATTTCTAAGGGCATTTGCTTTTAAAAGTTCTCTTTTGTGACTGAAGAGTCAGAAGAAAAATTGGTTAATGAAGTCCACGAGCCAGGGACGAAATGTGGGTCTTGATGTAAAGTAGGGCTGCCGCTGAGAGTTCGCTCTCCTCCCCAGCTCCCCCCCTCCAAGGGGCCCTTCCACGTGCAATGCTGGTCTTTTGTGGTTATATATTAGAAAACTTTGTGTAGTTTCATTAGCCTGTGGAAAATAAAATTTCGCTTTTTGGTGTTATGGATCTCAGGGAGAACCACAGGAAAGGAAAAGTCCTCCACATTGAAGTACCTCAGCCCACTTGGGGGTTAGTGGCGAGAGGAGAGGGGAAGGGTCTGTGGCCCCAGACTCCTGAGAGCGAGCAGAGAGGATTCCCTCGGGCCAGCTAAACCCAGCTCCATTAAGACTCGCGGATGCCCCCAGATTGAGTCGCAGGTTGAAAATACTTCGAGAAGAACCATGGTGGCACTGTTTCTAAGTTAGAAGACCACAGGCTCTGAAATGGTCAAGGGTGGTCCCAGATTAATTGTTATTTTTTCAAAAAAGGAAAGCTCACTGGAAACAGCAAAAAATCTCCTGGGCTAATCAAAGTCATTCTTTTGGAAGGTCGGTGGGACGCGTTCCTTCGTCCTTTCCTTGAAGATGATGCCTGTGTGGCCTCCACTCTCCCTTCACCCCCCTTCCTTCACCTCCCAAGAATTTGTCAGCAGCACACCGTAGGGCAGATTGAGAGGAAGGGCCACCAAAGCTCTCACTGATGATGACTTTTGGAAAGACCTGCCTGGCCAAACTGCAGAAGCGGATGGGGAAAGTGCAGATCATCTGCCCAAGACACTGTTTAGTTGGCAGGCAGAGCATTTGCTTCACTTCTTCCGACCCACCACTGGAGCTGGGGAAAATATGACTGTCCTGGTGACTCCACTCCGCCCTAAGCCTTTGACTCTCCTGCTGAAGCTCAAACCTTTCTGCCAACAGCATCTCCGCCCTTCTCCCAGCACACCCTCGAGGAACGGAGGAAGGCCATTCCTTGGTGACACTCATTGCCAGGACAGTTGAAGAGGAACAAAATGACCATGGGAGTTGTTCTTTGAAAGATCTCTTTAAATGGGTACATAAACTTCCAGTTTCTCGAAGCAAATGCTGATTACACTAGAAAAGAGATGGTTCCGCATATGAGAACTTATACCAGCAGCCGACACCCTGCAAGGATGGCACCCTTTGACTCTCCAGGACCCCATTCTGCAGCCTCTCATGAGCTGGTTCAGACGACAGTCTTCCTTCACGGCTCTCTGTCACTTAGGCGTTTGAAGAATAGGAATGAAATAACCGAGTGAGGGCATCTTGCTCTTTCGCTCATCCGGTGTTCAGAGTCGAAACAGTGAGGTCTGAGAACTGGCTCTCAGGCAGTCAGTATCTAGGACACCAGAAGTGGGTGCCAGGAAGCAGGGGCTGCACAGCGTGGTTGTGGTGCCAGCTTGTTTCCCCAGGCTAGATGCCACATGCTCTCATACTCTATGTTCCTGGCCTGGGGGCCACTCCTTCCCGATGTACGTGAACTTGGAGTGTGCTCACTCTCCTCTCTCTCCGGGATCTGCAATCGCTCAGGCGCCTTCTCATCACCTCCTTTTCCCACTCCTTTGATTGGGGCTTAATGGCAATGGCCCCCGACTTTTCGAGGCAGGTGGAGGAATGGAACGTGAGCCCGCCTGGAGGTTAATGAGGTGATGGTGCAACCCAGAGTCTGCATTTTCCCAAAGAACAAATCTGTATCATCGTGAACTGAGGACATCATTGTCCACACCCTTATTGCTCCATAATTACCTCAATATAGGCATGCCGGTCCCATTTGATATCCCTTTCAGTTCAATGTACTGGCTGCTTCTACCAGTTCAGAAGTAGCCTTGGGAAGGAAAATACTGGCTGGGTGCAGTGGCTCTTTCCTGTAATTCCAACACTCTGGGAGGCCGAGGCAAGAGGATCACTTGAGCCTAGGAATTTAAGACCAGCCTGGGCAACACAGCAGGACGCCACTTCTCCAAAAAAGTAAAACATTAGCCAGACGTGGTGGCGCCTGCCTGTAGCCCCAGCTACTTGGGAGGCTAGGCAGAGGATCACTTGAGCCTGGGAGCTGGGAGTTTCAGTGAGTCAGTGAGCTGAGATTGTGACACTGCACTCCAGTCTGGGTGACAGACAGATCCTGTCACACACACACACACACACACACACACACACACACACACACACACGAGGGAAACATTCAATCAAGCACATTCATGGTCATTTAATGATGATAAATTACTTTAAGGAAAAATGATTTAATTTTCTTTCAAGACTGCCAATTTTATGATTTTAAAAAAGTATACATTCCCACCAAAATATTATCTTTTTTCTTCTTTAATTTTCCTTACTGCATTTAGTCTCTCTGTTCCTTTTTGGTGCCTGTTCACTTTGCACATATATCCTGTTCACTCATCCATTCCCTTGAGAGGTATGTATGGAGTACCCGCTGTCCTAAGTGTGAAAGAAAGAACAGTGAGCAAAAAGAGACCAGTCTCTGCCCTCGTGAAGCCTAGACTCTCACACTAACTGTGGGGTGCGTGTTGTTAGGCTGCAGAAATGTACAGCCCGTGTGGGGGAGAGACGACCGCTCAAAAAGACTCAGAGTCCAGAGACTTGATGCAAGAGCAAGAGGATTTATTTCCAGCGCAGCGCAGGGCGAGCAGCACACCGAGCGCGAAGCTGCCGCACCGACCTTTTTTCCTTAGGATTTATGGCAGAAACCACACGCATGGTGGCTAGGGATCACAGGGTGGGGAAATTCCATGGGCTTTGACCTTGCACAAACATGTACAGATGGGCTAATATCGGGAACTTTAATCTTGGTCAATAATCCAAGATTAACGGCAACGGTTTTCGAATTACAGGTGGCTCCGATGGGGGAGAGTAGTGAGAGCGGAGGGGCCCGGCGGGAGGAGTAGGGTTGAGCGACTGAGGGCGGAGTTGGGAAGGGAGTAGTGAGCGAAGGGGAGGAGGCGCCGGCGGGAGGAGTAGGGTTGAGCGAGAGGGCGCGATTGGGGAAGGAGTAGGTTGAGCGAGGAGGGCGCCGCGGAGGAGTAGGTTGAGCGAGCGAGGGGGCCAGCGTGGATGGAGTTAGGGTTGAGCGAGCGGAGGGGCGCCGCGGGAGAGTAGTTGAGCGGAGGGAGGGCGCGATTGAAGAAAGGGAGTAGGTTGAGGAGGGGAGGGGCGCCGCGGAGATAGTTGGGCGAGCGGAGGGGCAGGAGGGAGTAAGGGTGAGCGAGCGGGTGGCGCCGGCGGGGGAGGAGTAGGGTTGAGCGAGCGGGAGGCGCCGCATGGGGAAGGGAGCTAGGTGAGCGAGGGAGGCGCGCGGGAGGAAGTAGGTTGAGCGAGCGGAGGGCGCCGATTGGGAAGGGAGTAGGGTAGAGGAGGGAGGGCGCCCTCGGGGGAGTGAGTGAGTTGAGCGAGCGTAGGGCCCGGCGGAGGAGTAGGTTGAGCGAGGGGGAGTGGCGCGGCGGGGGGAGTAGGTGGAGCGAGGTGAGGGGCGCAGCGGGGAGGAGTAGGTGAGCAGGAGGGGCCGAAGCAGAACGGCGGGTTAGATTTTTCTCCACAGTGTCCTTCCTGGCCTTCTCTTCTGTCTAACCTACGTGTCCTCCGTGCTTGATCCACAGGAAAGCGGGCCTCGTGCTGTCCCAGCTTGGGGACCTGAGCGGCTGGTGCAACGGACTCCTTCAGGAGCCCAAGATAAGCCTGCGCCGCAGCGCCCTCAAGTACCTGGGCTGCCGCTACAGCGAGATCAAGCCCTACGGACTTGACTGGGCAGAGCTCAGCCGGGACCTCAGGAAGACGTGCGAGGAGCAGACCCTGAGTGTCCCCTACAACGACTATGGGGACAGCAAAGACATCTAGCACCACGAGGCCAGGTTGCTGCTGCCAAAATGGAGGGGAGAGAGGAGGGGCTTTGTGGGTTTGTGTGTGACTTTTTAATATTTTTTAATGGGACATTAAAACCTCCATGGCAACGTCTAAACCACGGATAAAGTGACCCCCTGCTCCCCGCGGAACTTCCACAGTGTGACGTTCTCCACCTGCATGACCCGTAGACCTGCCAGCCAGCGGCTTCATGCAGCGCCGTATTTTTTTAGAGGATTACTTTGGGGTTAATTTGTTTCATTCTTTTTTTTTTTCCTTCAAGAGATTCACCAAAATGCTCAAGAGCTCTGTCATGCTTCCCATGGGAGGTCTACCACGCTGAGGCACTTCCGTGCTCACTGAGTTCCTAAGTTCGTTGCAGCTGGGGACAGAGGCCAGGCCAGAAGGTTGTCAGTCCTGCCTCAGGCCCCTCCCCAGGCATCCCTGAGGAAGCGCTCACTCAGGGAGCCTAAGCCTTGCTCTCAGAGAAAAGCAGTGCGGCCGCTGGAGCGGTGGCCCCACCTGTGCCTGGTGGTTTTTCTCCTAGGACTTCCTATTTCTAGCCCCACTTCTCACAGGTGGACCAGCTCCGCTTACAGCCCCAGTGGGCCTCTGGGGTTTTAGGTCCTCCCCCATTTTAAACCAGGGCTGGGATTAAATTCTTCTCGGGCAGACCTCTGCCCCCTCCTCTGAACTACATGATCTTTGAGAGGCCACAAGATGCCACCTGTCAGATGCACCTTTAGAGAAGTCTACCTGGGAGACTGTTAGCAGTCCACATTCTAGAAAAGAAGTGAAGTTTATTGTTTTAACAAACCCCTAAGCTTCCTGGATGAACTTCCCCAGTCCCCCAACGCACATCCCAGTGCCTGGGTTCCTGCCTCGCACCGGGACAGATGAGGTTGCCGTCTGATGAGGTGCACGGGGCTCGGTACTGCCATGCCAGCGTCACAGTGAGCTAAAGCTATTATTGATCACCAAATATTTCTGTCCATTTCCCCTCTTGCTAAGTTTGCCGTGTCACTACTTTGGCAAACGGTTTCTCTGACGGCTGTCAGTGGGAGGACTGCCGTGGTCACTGCCAGCTGGTTGGTGGGAGTAGCAGAGGTTCTGTGTAGACAAGCGCCACTGACAGGTGAGGGCCGGTGTCTCCACCCCACTGCCCGGGCGCTGGCATGGGCGCCGGTGCTGGCCCGGCGGGCCGGGAGCCCAGCCTTTCAGAAGGAGGCAGGCAGGGCCATGCCGACCGCTGTCCTGCACACCTCAGAGGCCGGAACACAAACTTTCTGTCACCACACCTTTGACCACAGCTCCACATTTGCAAACACAGGAGAAAGTCTGGAAAGAGGAGCAGATCTATAAGGCTAGCCACTGAGCTCCACTGATTTTTTCTAAACAGTAACAATGACAGATAAGATTTTCTGAGTGCTCGCTGTGTGCCAGACACCGCTCTAAGCACATTACACATCATTGAATTCTCACAACGACCCCCTGAGGGAAAAGCCATTTTTTTCTCCATTTCAGTATTGAGGAAACTGAGGCACAGAGAGGTTACACAACTGTCCCCAAACCTTCCGGGCACTGTCTGCTGAGCTGCGTTGAGTTCAGGCTTCGGACTGCAGAGCAAAGGGTTTGACGGGCCAGTGCGCCCCGCTCTGTGCTCGGTATCGAGGGCGGCAGCAGCTGTCTGGGCTCCCGAGAGCCCTCCGTCCCAGCACACGTGGCCTAGACGTGCCTCTGTGCAGGGGAGGCGGGGAGACACAGTGAAGCCCTAGCCTCTGGGGCCAGGACACCGCTGCGACGCCCGGCTCTGCAGCATGCGGCCCGCCCACCACGCAACCGGCGGGCAGCCTGGGCAAGCTGAAGGCGCAGGGTGGTCCCCCGTCCCCTGGCTTCGTTCCAGAGAGAGTGGAAGACGTCCGTCATCCTCTCGAGTGCCCCTGCCTCAGACGTTCCCCGGCCTGCAGAGCACGGGCTGACGGGACGCCCGCTGTCTGCCTGTGGTCAGCGCAGGGCCTCAGTGCCAGGGCCTCAGGGGCAAGGCTTTGACGTGGCCAGAGAAGTCTGTCGGTCAGCCAAGCAGGGCCTCTGGCGTCTTCTCGCCGCTCCTGTTCTGCCGTCCTTTTATTCTTCAAGTCTGCCAGGACGCGGTGTGTTGAATTTGAGTGGAAGAAGGGTGAGGCTGCCCATGCCTTCCTGCCCCGGCGGGGTGATGGGAGCGGATGGGGCAGAGAGGTGGGGAGGGGCCCCAGGGCCCCCACTGCTGTTTCTATTTTAGGCACACTACACTCCTCTCCCTTCTGTCTTGCCCTCTACTCACTCCCCACTCCCCCTCCGAGTTCCTGCACTTCCTTTTCATCCTTTTATTTTGTCCTTTTCTTTCCCTTTCTGTGACCCTCCTCTTTTGTCCTTTCCTTCCCCATGATTCTCATCCTCCTGCGGCCCCCCTCTGCTCTCACTGCACATGTGTATGTACACATACATGCACACGCATGCGCACTGTGCATGCAACTCCTGTGACTGGCGCCCACTTGCTCTCGAGCTACGAAGGCCGATCTGAAGGGAGCAGGGACAGTCTTAGGCCGGCTGTGCAGTCAACTGGAGGATTCTCCCCCCAGGAGGACACTGTCCCTCACACCTGCTGCCATTTCCCAAAGCTTGCCTGGAGGAACCCATGCTGGCTAGAAAGGGGGATGGTCCTGGGTCAGTGTTAAACCTCAAGTTTTAAAGCTGCCAAACAGGTCTTAAAGGAGTCACTTATGTTCACCAACACTCTCCCAGCTCTTGTGGCCCCTTGAGACCTCTGGGGTTTCCTCCGGAATGTACATGAACCACTGTAATAGCATTAGACTTTTAATTGAGTGTGCAACCATTTTCCATGCAGTTTGGTCAATTCATTATTTTTTGTTAACTATACTTCTCAATATTCAAATGTTCTATTAAAAAACCGAGTGTGGAAAAAAAGAAAACCACTTTACTACCGTAGAAGGAAGTAAGAATATAATGTGACCATCTTCAGGTTTAACAGTATTGTTTAAAAAAGATTTATTGTACAATTATAAAAAATGAAATAACCAACTAAATAATAAACAAAGCTGTTAGTAAGTGTTGGGTGTGTGGATGTTATCTTGTGTCTTTCAATAATCTGAGTGATCTGGTTAGACCTACTGGGGAGTTATTAAGGCTTTAAATGTTATGCCTCAAATTCTAATGTACAGGCCTTCTAGGCATCATTCTAACTAGAAAAAGGTCAACTATTTCATAGCAAATGATAAACTTATTGTTATGTGTTAGTGTGTCCCTTCTCTCTGCCATCTGTGCCAAATGATTAGTCAATGAAATGTATTTATTGCATATCTGCTGTATTCTAGACACTATGTGTGATGCAGAAGGTACAAGCGTGTTCTCCATCACAGAGTGTGGCATTTTATGGGGAAAGTTGTACATTGAACTTGTCATTACAAGGGGAGGAGAACTGTGACAAAGAAGTACAGGATGCTATGGGAGTTACTGAAATTTGTACTTTGGCCATCTAAGAAAAATGTTGCAAAAGGCTCTCCCAGGCGCAGTCCTTGCTTGTGTAGAGGCATTTAAGACAGGTTGGCTATTACGAAATGTTTCATGGTGAGTAACGCAAAACACTTCATCTCTTTCTTTCTCTCTACAATGTAACTTTAAATAGATGTTATCTTAGCTGCCACCAAAATATGTGATTGTCTTTAAATTATTCAGTAATCATATATTAAGTGCCTGGGCTTAATATCCTCTTGAAAAGTAATGATCAGAGTCCTAGCCCCTGCCCAAGCACAGGTGGTTCAAAGATGATGACTTTGGCAGTTTTAAAACATGGCCACAAATTCCTTTACTCCCCTCCTGTCTAGAGCATCTCCCACTGCCTCTCCTCTCGAATCTGAGCAGGTTTATAACTGCTCTGACCTCCAGATTATGATGGAAGTGACACTTCCAATTCTGAGTCATAAAAAGCCTTGGGGCTTCTGCCTCTTACCCAGAACTCTTGCTCTTGGAGCTCTGAGTCACCACGTAAGAAATCCAAAGTCGCTGTGCTGGGACAACTGTGCTGGAGAGGCCACCTGTGAGCACTCTGACGCTCAGTCCCAGCTGAGACAACCCTGCCAAGGCCCCGACTTGTGCATGATGCTGTCTTGGACCCCCAAGGCTAGTTGCCCTGCTAGTTGCATGCCACCTAGCAATCTCCATCAATGCCATATGGAAGAGAAGAATCACCCTGCCAAGCCCCTCCTGAATTTATGGCCCCAAAACTTATGCAACATAATAAATGGTTATTGTTTTAAGCCACTAAGGAGATCTGCTAAGTAAAGGGATTCTGATCTGAGGCCTGCAGTGCCTATTCCATGCACCCAGTCACACAGTGTCTACGTAAGCCCTGCCCAGGGCATGAATTCACCATGGAAAGGAGACAAAACCGTGTACAGACTGGGCTGCATGTGCAAAGTCTCTCTCGCCAACGTGTACAGACTGGGCTGCATGTGCACAGTCCCTCTCGCCAACGAGGTGAGCCTCTGCTTCTGCAGAGGAGAGGAGAAAGAAGGGTGGGCCATTGCCTCCCAGTGCTTCTGAGAGGGTGAAGCTTGGAGCCCAGACAGAAACCCTGGGAGAGGGAGATAATTGTTCCAGGGCCAAGGAAAGAAAGAAGAGAGAGGCCAATTTAGGACAAGGAAGAAATATTGGACGGGAAGGATGTCTTACAATTACCTTTTCTGTCCCTTTGCATTTGGAAGTTCTTGGATGCAAATATACCCATCCCACACTTCAAACGTGCCTAGCACTGTGCTAAACACTGCAACTGCACAATATTCCTCAGTCGCCACTGCAACTCCAAAGCGAGCACTCTTAGGAAGGAGAAGCGGAGTCTCGGGCCCTTATGTAACTTGCCCAGGTTCATAGCTAGGTGGGAGGACAGGCATTTTGACAAAGGACTGCCTGTCTCTAACTGTACACCATACTGTCTCCACCATTAATGAGTTTGCTTCTCCTTTAGTTTTCTAAAAATGGAAAAAGCTCCTCTCATGGAGATTTTTGCAAATCACTGCCCGGTTACCCGGTGTCAGGCAGTAAGAGAGACTATGGCTGTCCCACTGCAATCCCACCCTGCCATCAGGAGGGCAACGCGGGTGCACAGCCTGCTTTCACAAGCTGCCCACACGCCTCTTCTGGCTTGCTGGTCTGTTTGGCTTGGTTTGGGTTTGTTTTTTTGTCTGCCATGCAAGGGGGATTCAGAGCCAAGAAATGTTGACTCTCCCTCTGTATGTTCACCATTGCTCCCTATTGTGCCTCAGTGCTTGCTCGGGGCCATCTGTGTGCCACTTGCATCCATGGCGACACTCCGTGCTTGCGCGAGAACCTGGGGAACAAAAGCCTAGCTTGACGTGTTGCCCCCGGACCCAGCCCTGGTTCTGATAGCCTGTGTCTTCTAGCCCAGCTCACACCACCAACTCCGATTTTATTGTCGTTCTGAATGAACCAATTAATGAGCAGTTTAGTATCAAATGAAACCTCAACATTATGTCAGGCTTATAATTTCTCCTGATACATGTGGGAGTCCAGTACTTGGCTCATGTCTGCACTATTCCAAAGTGAAAAAAAAAAAAGGCAACCCTTTTGTTCTGGGATCTTGCAGGGTCTGCTGTAATTGGATTGATTCCTCTAGAGATGGACAGGTTTTGACATCATGTTTCTTCACCAGCACCACCTTTTGTTAGAGCCCATGCTATGCCAGCTCACATGGGAGTGCAGATTAGTGGCAATTGATTCCTTACTATCTTTCCCTGTAGGCGAACTTCTGCCATATTCCGTGTTTAATAATTAGGAGCAACTTCTTTTGTTTCAAATAATCCAAATGTCAAATGACTCTGAGGCTATTGTTGTCCAATGAGTCAGACAGTGTTTTCTGAACCATCAACTGAGGGATGAAATCACCTCACACCATATCCTTGTTGTGTTGCAGGACTTAATTGCACATGGATAAAACTGAGGTTGGGATCCTGATATAAAACCATCCTCATATAGCCATCTCATCTTTGACAAAGCAGACAAAAACATACGCTGGGGAAAAGAATCTCTCTTCAATAAATGGTGCTGGGAAAACTGGATAGCCACCTGTAGAAGGCTAAAACAGGACCCACACCTTTCACCTCTCACAAAAACCAACTCACGCTGGATAACAGACTTAAACCTAAGATATGAAACTATTAGAACTCTAGAGGAAAAAGTTGGAAACACTCTCCTAGACATCGGCCTGGGCAAAGAGTTTATGAAGAAGTCCCCAAAGGCAATCACAGCAGCAACAAAAATAAATAAATGGGACATGATCAAACTACAAAGCTTCTGCACAGCCAAAGAAATAGTCATGAAAGTAAACAGACAACCTACAGAATGGGAGAAAATTTTTGCATCCTATGCATCCGATAAGGGACTGATAACTAGAATATACTTAGAACTCACGAAAATTAGGAAGAAAAAATCAAATAACCCCATTAAAAAGTGGGCAAAGGACTTGAACAGAAATTTTTCTAAAGAAGACAGAAGAATGGCCAACAAACATATGAAGAAATGCTCAACATCTCTAATCATCAGGGAAATGCAAATCAAAACCACAATGAGATATCACTTAACCCCAGTGAGAATGGCCTTTATCAAAAAATCTCCAAACAATAAATGCTGGCGTGGTTGCGGAGAGAGAGGAACACTCCTACACTGCTGGTGGGACTGCAAACTAGTTCAACCTCTGTGGAAAGCAATATGGAGATACCTTAAAGCGATACAAGTGAATCTACCATTTGATCCAGCAATCCCATTGCTGGGCATCTACCCAAATGATCCAGTGACACTCTACAAAAAAGACACCTGCACTCGAATGTTTATAGCAGCACAATTCATAATTGCAAGGCTGTGGAAACAGCCCAAGTGCCCATCAATCCAAGAATGGATTAATAAAATGTGGTATATGTATACCATGGAGTACTATTCAGCTCTAAGAAACAATGGTGATATAGCACATCTTATATTTTCCTGGTTAGAGCTAGAACCCGTACTACTAAGTGAAGTATCCCAAGAATGGAAAAACAAGCACCAGATATATTCTCCAGCAAACTGGTATTAACTGAGTAGCACCTAAGTGGACACATAGGTGCTACAGTAATAGGGTATTGGGCAGGTGGGAGGGGGGAGGGGGCGGGTATATACATACATAATGAGTGAGATGTGCACCATCTGGGGGATGGTCATGATGGAGACTCAGACTTTTGGGGGGAGGGGGGGAAATGGGCATTTATTGAAACCTTAAAATCTGTACCCCCATAATATGCCAAAATAAAAAAAAATTAAAAACAAACAAACAAAAAAAAAACTGAGGTTGGACATGCATCACATGCCATTTTGTCTCAATGACCACTGAACATAACATGGTAATGCACGTTGTCCTCACCAGCCATCCACCTCATTGTTCTCAGGTCTGTTTCCCAACCTTCTGCTGCTCTGCTCTGTGTCACACAGAGCTGACTCGTACCAACTGCTTTTCCCTGGAAGTCAACAGGCTCCCGGCTTCGTGGGACAGTGGGTGGTGCTTGTGGAAGGCAGGAGGACAGGAAGAAGGAAGCCAGGCGCTTCTCCCGCTCTCTGCCTTGGGCGGTGTCTCCAGGGTCTCCTTCTCGGTTTCTGCCTCCTCTCTGTGTTCTCCCCACCCCCTCAAAGCAAGAGCTGCTTCCGGCTGCTGCTAGTCTTCCAGGCTGCTCCACACCCCTGCGTGCTCCTTCTGCTATTCCAAAGTCTTTCTAACTGATTTCCCACTTTGAGCAACTTCTGTTGAATTACCTGAAATGTATTCTGACTGGGTCTTAATTAACACCTACTTTGAACTAAAAATGATTACATATCATCTGACATAGGAATTTTGTAACTCTTTGGGGTTTGCTTCTGCATCTGTAATATAAAATTTCGATGCCAAAAGTAAAGACATATATTCACGAACTCTAAGATTGATCACAGGGATGGCAAATAGGTTTCCATTTGAGTGCTGAATTCCACCAAGTGGCAGTGGCTGCCTGGACAGCTGACTCGAAAAGGATTC